TATATTTTTAATCATAGGATAAAAAGATAAGATTAATAGGAAAATGAAATTCGCCATATTTATGAAAATTGTTTTTATTCGTTTGCTTGCAGGACAAGGCCGAGTGAATCAACTTGGCGGTGTGTTTATCAATGGTCGACCACTGCCGAATCACATACGTTTAAAAATCGTAGAGATGGCAGCCGCTGGAGTAAGACCGTGCGTGATTTCTAGGCAATTAAGAGTCTCGCACGGTTGCGTCTCGAAAATCTTGAATCGGTATCAAGAAACGGGCTCGATCAGGCCGGGCGTGATCGGTGGCAGCAAGCCACGAGTCGCCACCCCGGAAGTTGAGGCGAGGATTGAAGACATGAAGAGGCAGAACCCTGGCATATTCAGTTGGGAAATCCGCGAAAAACTGATAAAGGTCTGTTGACAACATCTGTTCGACAAATTTTCCTATTCCCTTTACTTCCATTATTTTTCTTGTCCATATTAATTTTACTTTTTTATGAGAAGTTTTATAAAATGTCCACTACTTCCTTATAAAATGATTTGAAACTCACTTTTTAAAACGTTCATTTACTTGTTCATTTAAAAAATCATGAAATCAAATCTCGTATTTCTTGAATATACGTTTAGCTTGTAGAGTAAGAAATAAAGTTTTGCTAACTTCCATTAGTATACTAACTGGTCCAACGTGGTTCTGCTAGCAGGATGGCATCTGCGACAAGGCGTCAGCACCGTCAGTTTCGAGTATTTCGAGGCTCCTTCGTGGACCCACGAATCAGACGCGACCCGGGGACGATCCTCGAAGGAATCATTCCATCGATGGGATACTAGGTGAGTGTCTTTCTATCTCTAACCGAACCAGCTAACTGTAATTTAAATGGAATTTAAATTAAGTATCTTCAAAATTGATATTCATATAAAATTTGCGAACCCTTCCTGATTTAACACCGTATAAATCATTAGGACTAGGTAAATGAGACGCTTGAGATAAATGAGCGATAAGCGTAATTATAGCGTGCAGCGTTAATTGAGTCGATCCGACCATAATGATGAACACCACATACTATTAATATATTTCGCAGAATATAATAAAAAGCAATTTTGTCAATCATTGGGAGCTCTTAAAATGTAGTACAATGTGAAAGGATGTTCCTTCTGTCAAATCGATCCAGACATTCAATAAAGTCTGACTTCCTGAAGCTAATCAAAATATCCAAAGTATTTCATTCTGTTAGATACATGCAATCTCCGTTCATAAATCTAGGAGACTGCATGCAAATAAAATCACGTAGCGAGAGTCATTGAGAGATACTGTCGACAAAATCAAATCGATTCATCAAAGGCAGGAACTTTCGCTCGTTCGAAGGCTGAATAGTTTTTCGAGGGCGAGGAGCAGATTAACGGGAACGGGTAGGTCCGGGCCGGCACTCGGACTTAAAGGGAGTCCACGTTTTTTATTTATTGGTCGCCGGTTTGCGAAGCCCGCGAAGAAATATTAGGCGTCCCGTGGCGCGTTCATGCGTCGAGTTTATTACCTTGTCCGGGAGATTTAGTTTTGATTAGATGTACCTACCATGCGCCGGGAATTGCGGTGCCAGAGCGATGGAAGAACGCAGGGACGGCCTATCTACCTACTACCTACCTGTTGATCGGTTCGCACAAATCTTCATTTCGTCCATCGAATTACGTACGTTGCACGCAGCCTGGCTGATCCGACCATTCCGGTGTACGTAGCTGGCGTTTCTAAGTGAAATGTTGCATGATTTACAGAAGTTTGTATTCCCACGAGCTGTATTTTCCATCAGGAAAGCGGACGAGAAAATATTTGCGTTACTGTGATATTATTTAAGATTGCAATTTCCTTGCTGGGATAACATTTTATATGTATAGTCAGTCTACAGTCTTTTGAATAATTCCATCATTTTTCTTTGAAACACAAAAATAATACAAATGTCCTACTTTTCACAGAGAAATTAATTTATAGAATAATCATTGGAATAGAAATTGATACATGATAAGAAACCGTACGATTTACCATATTAAATCTGAAACATACGAAGTTTGATGTTAGCAGAAAACTAGAAACGTAGCAAAAGAAAAAGAGCGAAGGCAAAATGATCGGTGCGAACAGGCAAGGAGAGGCGAAATGGTAGAGCGCGTGTACACACGCGGCGTGTGGTCTCTCGTGATACGTATCCGGCTGCCTCTAATTTTACAAACCGCCAACGCCAGGCCCCGAGCCTGCCGTTTTCTGCAACGAACAACAGGGCCTGCATCTATTAATTTAGACGTTCGGATGCTAAACTAATCGGGCGAAAATTCTCATGCCTAATGATAATTACTGTCTGCATCCCCTCGTAAAAATTCTTCACATAATTCTTGGCACTTTATTGATTTCATTTAGTAAAATTGTACAATTTCTATAATTAAAAAGAAATCAGACGTCGGAAGAACAATG